CGACAAAGGTTGTAACAGAGATTCCAGTCCTGCGTAGAATACCAAAAAGGAAAGCAGTAAATAATCCAAAAGGTTCAAAAGCTATAAAGCAACAGAAGAAGGTAAGTGTTCCGAAGAAAAGAAAAGCATCAGATGAGGATTCTAGTCGTGAAGAAACTTTGAAGCACAATGAGGATGCAGGTCATGAAAAACATTTCAAGCAGAATGAGGATGCTGGTAAGAATACAGATCAAGAAAAAATTGATGAACAGGTTCATCAACATACTGTTCACGAAGAAGTTGAGCAACATCCCGCTGCAGATAAAAAACAGATTTTAATTCAAGCTCTGATAGAAGAAGTGGGTGAACAAGGATCTAAAAGCTTCGTGGTGGAAAATGATCAAGGTGAAGATGGTTTTGTTGAGAAACAAAATGAAGAAGTGCAAGAGCAGGTTGAAGTTGATATTCACAGCAACATTGCTGAGAATGATATGGAAAAGTCTGAGGATGAAAGAGAAGAAGATGAGCATGAAAGAGAAGAAGATGAGCATGAAAGAGAAGAAGATGAGCATGAAAGAGAAGGAGATGAGCAACTAAGAAAAAAAACAGCAATTGTTGAGAAAAAAAGAAAAAGAAATGAATCAACTCAAAGGAGATTTACAAGGAATGCTGTGCAAAGTGCTTCAAATCTGACAGAGGCAAACAAGAAGAAAAAGAAGAACAAAAAAAAAATAGAAGAAGAAGATGAAGAGGAATATGAACAGATTGAAGAAGAAGATGGTGTGGCATATCCAAAGTTGTTGACCAGAATGTCCCCTAAGACTTTGACAGAGGTCATTGAGAAGCTAAGTGATGAACAGAAAAAAGAAGTAGTGGAAATGGGCTTTGGATCATTACTATACCTCCAAGTCAAGCAATTGCCTGCAAATCTTGCTCATTGGGTTGTTGATTGTTTTGATAGCAGGAGCATGTCATTGATGTTACCCAATCAAGAGAGGTTGCATATTACTGAAGAGTCTGTGCACTACATTCTAGGTTTCCCAAAAGGAATGATTAGTATACAAGAAAAGATTGACAATCAAGCAGAACTGACATCAACAATGGTAGCTGATTGGAGAAGACAATTCCCAAATGTTAAAGGCCAGGTCCAAACAGGTGTTCTGAAGAAAGCTTTAGAAACAACTAGAGAAGCTGGAGGTTGGTTTAAGAAAAACTTTTTGGTTCTGCTAGTGACTCTACTGATTGAAGGAAAGCTGAATTGTTATGTCAACCAACACATTCTGAAAGCTTTGGATGATGACTCAAGGGTGAAGGAGTTAGATTGGTGTAGTTATACGTTGCAGACATTGATCAAGGCAAAAGATTTCTGGAATGAAAACAGAACAAGGCATTTTCCAGGATCTCTGTTGTTTTTTATTGTAAGTTTAAATAAACTTATGAAGTCTTAATGGTTAATGGTAAATATTAAATGCCTAATAGATGTATACCTTTAATGGTTTATGATAAATTCTAAATTTTACAATGTGCAGATATTTTATGTTGATAGAGTGGAGTTCAAATCAAGAAGCGTGCCAAGAAGAACACCAGCAATAATTGGATGGACAACGCATGATTTGAACAAAAGAGAGAAGCAAGAAATGACAAGTGGAGGATTTGGATATGGCTTCATTGATAATGAAAACAAGGGAGAGCTGAAAATACCAGAGCTGGTAGAGATTGATAAAGAAAAGAGCACTGAAGATGAAGGCCAGTCTTCAGAACAACCAAAGAAGGTATAAAAAAGGAATAATATTGTGATCATATATGAGTAGACATCAATAGTATAATGAGTGTAGTGCAGTAACAAAATGAGCATACGTTGGAATAAATTTGTTTACAAATAAATTTGATACTCATATACATCTTATTTAAATGATTATAATAAATGTGTTATAGTATGAGTATTTATATTAAATGTTTCGGTTATAAAAATATGAGTATACCATATTATAAAATGAGCACTGTAATGTTTTTGTTGAGTATAAAATGATTAATAAATTTCTTTGTATATCAAAGCAGGATGCAATGAAGGAATTTGCTTCAGCGGCAAAGCATTTGGCTGAAAGCATCTCCAATTTTGATGAAAAATTTCAACTGGCTGCACAGGCTTTACCTGATGATGAAACAATGAAAGTGCTGCTGGGAAAAGTGCATGGGCTATTCCAAATCTATTCCACTGAACCACAACAAAATGATAAAGGAAAAGAAATCTCAATGTCACAAGATGATGATTTCTGGACTGAAGATGTATTGAAAGCAGTAGAAGCAATTGAAAATGCACAAAAGAAAAGGTGTGATAGGCAAACATTCACACAGTATGAAAAGCCAAGTTTCAGACTGCTATCCCAGGAATCAAATGATTCTCCAATCACAGAGGAGCAGAGAGAACAGGAGAATGAGGGTACACATCCTTTTGAGCAGGAAGTTCGAATCAATGAGCATCATGGAGTTTTAAATGAGCAACCAGCCAATGTTAATGAGCAAGACAAACACCTTGAAGAGCAGAAAGATCAAATTAGCCCAGAGGATGAAACAAGGGTACATGAGTCAAGCAGTTTAAGTGATGAAATCACTGATAAAGAGACTGAAAAGGGAAAGAATGTTTGCATGGAAGGTGAAAATGCTGAGGAAAATGGGTTGAATAGCAAAAGAGAGACGATCCCTGCAGCTGCTATAAAGTCACCATATGTGAACAGAGTTACAGAAATTAAAGTACCGCCAACCACTGAAGAGATCAAGGTAGCTCAATTTGTGTTTAATGAGGGCACTGATAAGAAGTAAGTAATTAAATACTTCTCAAAACAATAGTTATATATATGATAAACAATGCATTATTCGTTCATGCTCTCACGCTTTTGGATATTTGTGATTTGTGAGTAAAGTTTGAAATTTAATGCCTGACATGATTAAAGATTGCAAGTTTGTGATTTAAGATTGTATTTGAATCAAATAAGCGTGCTGCATGCTTATTTTGAATTCGTATTGTTTGATGTTATGAACTAGAGAATGGTATTTGTATTTTATGAATCTAGTGATTGCATGTGCTGACTGTTTGTTTTTAAACTCATTAGTGTTGTGCTATACAAAGATCGAGATTTTGTTCTTTCAAAAAGTCAGTTGGAGAGTCTGAATGTTAGCTGCAAAGTGAACTCACAAGTCATAGACGTGTGGGCAATGATTCTTAACAACATCGAGACTCTAAGAAGCGATGAAGCAAGGAAAAGATTGATTTTCACAACAACACCATGTGTAAGAATTATTGCTTAACATATTTATGTTTATGAATAAATTTGAAAGCAATTTATTAAATTATCTATTTACAGAGAGTGTTGGAGGAAAATCGGTTGACAGCTCCACCGACAAGAAACAAGAGATTTGTTGATGCTACAAGGGCCCAATTTGCAAAGATGGCATTGCCAAAAGTGAAAGACATGGATTTGTTTATTTTCCCAGTTGAACAAAGTGGAAGATCATACATGATGACATTTGATATGAAGTTCAAAAAATTCTTCATCATTGATATCTGTAATGCAGATATTTCTATTCAAATGAAGTATCCTTCGCAACCAAACCATCTGGTAAGTGTACATATTATTTTTATGTAAATGATTACTGTAGCTATTCCAAATGAGCATTAGTAAAGATTTATTGAGCATTATTAGTACAGATTTATATAAGAAATGTTTATTATAAAAATTGCTTATATTCACAGAGAAGTGCTGTATTGAAATGGCTTAAAGATGAAAACCATCCTCAAGCAGACAAAGTCAAAAACATGAAGCCAGAAGTTTTAAAAATGGCATGGCGCAACAAGAATACTAAAGCAAATGAAGGAGTGTACTTGATGAGGCACATGGAAACCTTCAATGGAGAGAGTAATTGGGACTGTGGCTTATTCAAAGATAATGTAAATACACATTGGTTTATGAACATTTAATGTAATATCAATAGTGTATCAGAACAAAATTAACTTGTACTTAACATATATAATTGTGCAGGAAAAGCCAATAAACATATTGAGGTTCAAGTATCTGCACAGAATGCTCACATTTCAGAAGAATGAAGTAAGAATGGAGGTGATGGAAAGAGTGAAAGAAAACAAAGCGGTGTGAATGTAATCAAGTGGTGTGAATCAACAAAAAACAATGTGCATTTCCGATTTAATAGTTTAATGGGGAAAAACATATTTTGTTTGTGGTTTTGGTGAGATATTTGGTTTGTGTTTAGTGACTTATGGTGAACTTAAATGTTTGAACTAGTACATTGTACTATGTTATTGATAATATTGGCTGAAATATGTCATGGTTGTCTTTATATATGAATTAATGTGAATGATCATTAATAGTATCCTGAATGATCATTTTACATGGTAGTATACTCAAAACGCGATGAGTGAATTACAATTTTTTGTGTGATCTGTTTATTTAACTAACTCAGGTAGCGTTTTAACAAACTCTGTTTATTTACACATCAAATAAAAACGTTTTCAAAAGTGTTATTTTGAAGGAATAGTAAGTTAGTTCAATAGAAAGTGTAAGTATAGGTATGGAAATTAACTTTGCAACATATGCTCATAATTTCTTACCGGAATACTCATTAGGCAGGAAATGAGTACAATAAAGAAACTACTACGTATATATTTTATAAAGTTTAAACGAAAAGAGTAAAACGAAATTAAAGAGTTGTGACTAAAATATAAGTTACCATACACAGATACGAATCATTTATATAAGATTAATATATGTTTATTAATAAATGAAAATTTAATAGGTTTCTTTTGAGCATCAAAACAACCAAATTGAGTGATAAAATTACAGAGATAGGTCTAATAATATCAAAAAATCAACAGAACAATAAGTAAATACGGAGTATATAATAGGAATTTTAGACATGAGCAACTAACAAAATGTGTTGTTTTATCCTAAGAAACACAAGGAGAAAACTGATCTACTAGAGGAGTCCATACCAAATATCCCATTGGAGAACCTTGATGATGTATGCTTTCATATTTCAGAGAACCTTGATAATATTCCAAAGCATATATTTAAATGATCAACATACAGATACGGTCCGAGCAACAACACAAAAATGTTGAGTAATTAAAAAACATGACATCAGTCACTAGTAAACGAGTGAACATAGCAGTATGACTACATAGATATTCGAAAATCAAACTACAAATTTGGTTGATCAGGTGCAGATGTTGTACTAGCTTGACATGACCTTTTCCTTGCTCTAGCTTGATTTGTTTTGATTTGATTTCAATAAGACTCTTACGACGCACATTTCTTTCACCCTTCTTCCTTGAAGACTTTGGATTAGATATTGCTGAACGCGAACCAACAGTAGAAGTTTCACTATCTGAAAAATAAATACTTCCAAGTTGCTCTTCAACAGCCGCTTTCAACTTTGTAAAAGATTCTTCACAAAAATGCCTTGCTGCAGAATTAGAATCACTAGAGCACAAAAGCTTGTGAAATTTCTTTTGCATTTGCATTCTCCAAACAGAAGGTAAAACATTAGAAGTCCCAGATGAAGCATAAATTTGTTCAGTTGGAACACACTTTGCACTACGCGTCCAACGTTTCAGAACATAACAATCCGGAATTACTTCTACACAGTGAATATGATATATACGAAGAATATGACAACACAAAATACCAACTTCTGAGAATTTCTGACATGAACATGTAACAAAATGTGTTGTCACATCAAAAGAAACCCAATGTGAAAATCGATCTAATTGAGGCATCCATACCAAATATGACATCAAAGAACCTTGTTGATATCTAAGTTCATATTTCAGCGACATACCTCGTAGAAATTCTTTCTCAAACAGTTTATACGCATCAATCGTGTAGACCTTGGAGGCTTTATGTAACAAACCAACAAAAGGAATGGCAATTTCCGGAAAACCATCCCAACAACGTTGCTGATCTTTACCCTCATTACTTCTCCATTGACTGACACACTCACTGAAAAAATGGTAGAAGTCACAAAGAGATGAGCTTGCATTCAATTTTTTAGATAAGGACTTATTCGTGGTCTCGCTTCGTTGTGAAGACAAAATTCCAGCAGAAAAGAATTTTTTTGAAAAAGCTGGACACCATTTCTCCCTCATCTCGTAGAGTTTGGTTAACCAAGGATTATCAGAACATTTGTATTCAGAAACCATCCTGCAAAATATGAAGCAGTATACTCATTTTACAAAACATGTCACTCATTACAGATAAGCAGTTGCTCATACAAGAAGTTATACTGTAAAGGCAGAAAACATAAAACTAAATATACAAACAATGAAACATACCTATTCCAGTAATAATCAAACTCAACAACAGTCTGACAGAGTTTCAAAACATGATCAAATAAATCCAGAAAGCCTTCGTCATTCCTCAAATCTCGTATATGTTTTTTAGAATTTTCAATGATGTGCCATATACAAAGACGATGTTTCGAAGAAGGAAAGACTTTAGCTATTGCAGCAGACATAGCAGATGACTGATCTGTCATAACAGTTTTCGGGTGCACAAAATCCATTGAATGCAGAAAAGTAGTGAAAAGCCATTCAAAAGATTCAATTCTTTCATTGAGAAGAAATCCACAACCAAACATGCATGTATGAGTATGATGGTTAATGCCTACAAACGGTCCACATATCATATCGTATTTATTAGTACGATAGGTTGTATCATGAACAACGAGCTCACCAAATGCTAGGTAATCTTCCTTCATTTTTTTGTCTCTAAAAAAAAAACTGACTAAAGAACCATCAACATCTATCTCAAAAGAGAAAAAGAAATCTTCTTCATTTGACTGTCTAGTCTTAAAGATGTTAATCAAGGTATTGGCATCAGAACCATCAAAAGATTTCTTGATCTGTTTTGTCAATTCATTATATGCATCACGCAAAAGAAAACCAACCGAAGGAGATCCACCTGCTTCCTCTTGCAAACATCGAAATCCATCAGCTATCTTGACCCCTTTATTTTTCAAATGGTGCAAGTAATCTAACTCACTAGAAGAAATAGAACGGTGAGATCTAACGTGATGAACTAATGAGTTCGGGCAAAACTCATGATTATGGTCCATAATGTGCCTAACAACAATCCACTCACCGCTAGCTTTTATCTCAAAATAAATTCGTGCCTTACAATCAGTACGACGATCAACTTTTGTAAACTGTTTTCCAATAACACCTTTATTTCGTTTCAGGCCTTGCTTGGTACAACAAAATTCTCTACCCCTTAAGCCAGAACCACCAGCCTTCTTTCTCAAAGTAGAGTACCTAACTCCAAAACCAATCCTAAAAGCATAATCATTATACAACTCAAATGCTTCTTCCTCTGAAAAGACAGTTTTACCGATCAACTCAGAAAATTCAGCTTCCTTAACTGATATGATTTCATCAGAAACAGGATCATGACAAAGTTTAATAGGCTCAAAAGTAGATGAACGTTCAGCTACAAAAAAACAAATAAAAGGGAAAATAAACTACAGATCTAAAATGCCAGTAAAAGAAAGTGAAAGAATGTAAGAAACGAGCAATACTTGTACCGAAAGAAAGAGATTCTGTTGTACAAACAAGATTTTGGTCTTCACTGAAGTTAACAGAAGAATCCAAAAAATCTAGACGCATTAAAAACCATCACAAGAACATCACAACACAAAGTCAAATATATAAAACAAATTGATCAAAGAATAACAAAATTTATGAGTTGCATTTAAAAAGTATATTACTGGATGGAAGTGCAACGATTTCGCCTCTGGATTCTATATCCTCGATTAATCTTCCAATCGAAGAAATACCATCTGCACAGGTTAAAAACAAAACAAAACAAAGAAAACAAATGTAAACTCAATACTGATCAACTACATACTCAAAACAATTCAACTAATGTAATGAATTAGTTCATAAAATAAGTACCTCCAGAATCAGCCATATGGTCAATAAAAAGCTGAAACAAAAAAAATTGAACTGAAACAAATTATAAAAGTAGCAATAACAATACAACAAAAAAATAAATTGAGTAAAAACTAACATATAAATACGAAGATCAACTACATGAAAGCATAATTTCGATAGAAGAAGGAAAAAGCGTATAAATGATAAGCGAAGAAGGAAAAGTACTTACATAAATCGATAGGTAAAATCGAAGCCAAGACAAGTCGAAAAAACTGAGAAGATCAACTCTGCGGAAGTTACGGAAGAAGAACAACAAAATTGTGGAAGTTGAGGAAAACGAATCTGCAGAAGGAAGAATTGATCGACGAACAAAAGCCAAGCTGCGGAAGAACAAATCTGTAGAAGAAGAACGACAGCTATGGAGAGAAAGAACAAAGAGAAAAAGAAACAAATAAACAGGATAGAAGTTGAACTTAATTACAAAATTACCTGGCTGTACCAAGAGGAAGGTACAGCCGGGTTTACCATATACTTTACCACCCACTAATGAACTAGTCATCCACACAGTGTCCGTTGCAAGTACGCAATCAGCTCCTTCCTCGTCGTTGCTTGCTTGCATCCAGTTCAGCTCCATTCTACCCAGCACAGCATATACAATATATCCATAATCCCAAACAAACATTTGGAACTCCGCACTAGAGATTTCGCTTCAAAATGCTGCCTGTAAACCCTAGTTCCATTCTCGCCCCTTTCAACCCTCCCTGTCCAGTCTTTTCGACTCCCAAGACTCTTCATTTCTCCAACGCCAGTCGTTTTCATTCCGCCGCCGATCCGCCTTCCGGGCATTCTTTGCCGCGGTCGCGGTTGAGCTTCGCCGCAGCCGCAGATGCCGCTGCTTCTCCCGGGTTCGGTCGAATTGGGCTGGACTCTGATGGTGCCGCTGCTCCCCCGGTAGAGAAGAGGGTTTCTAATAATGGGAATTCCACGAAGGCTAATGCGAAGGAGAGATGGTCACGAGACCGGGAAAGTTATTTGACCGACGACGACGATGCCCTTCCTCTTCCCATGACTTACCCAAAGTCATCCCCCGTATCTGCAGAGGAAATCGATCGGCGTCTTCGATGCGACCCTAAAGCTGAGGTCTTTTTTCTTTTCCAATTCAGATTCTATCATGTATTGTACAGGGCCGACTATTGTAGCGTTTATATATTACAGGACCACAGGGCGTACAAGAATTGCCAACCCACGTTATATGTATCGTATACACTTATCAACCAATTGTCTCTTTCGTTTACCCATATGGAGTAGAGACTTATTATTTTCTAATATTATTATTGCCTTTGTTATAGGACTATAGGAGTAGTTATTTACAGTTTTAATCATTGGATTTATGGGTTAGAGACCACTATGCACGTAGGAGAGAAACCTCACTTGTATTTCAAGTCTGTAAAAGAGGTGCTTGCATCCATGTAAAGGCAGAACGGAGATATATCAAAACCATCTCCTGTCATTTTCTTCTAGTTTTCTTTGCTTATTTTCATTCAAATACTCCTGGGCTTATCAATATACTTCTTCGAAAGGCATATACTAATTCCAGCTTTGTGGTTGCTTAATCCGTCCTGGTCTTGATATTGCTAAAATAAATGAAACATATTATGCCAGGGCAAGGTCATCCACTTGTGAATGTGTGATTGCAATACATCATGATACTTTTTCCATCTAATTGGGATCTTTGAATTCCCACATGAATAAAAACTTGTGTTATGTGATTATGTTTAATTCTGAAGACTTATTTTGAGTTTTTGGCCGTTCCTTGTAACCAGGAGTGCAAAGATGTGGTTTACGAATGGACAGGAAAGTGTAGGAGCTGTCAAGGCTCAGGGTTTGTCAGTTACTATACGAAAAGAGGGAAGGAAACCGTCTGCAAATGCATACCATGCATGGGAATTGGTATTATTTAGTGCTCCTCATGACATATGATTCAATCGGATGTTTTTTCTTTTCTTGTTTGAATGTGATGCATCTCTTGCTGTATGGATGCGTAGTGTAAAAGTTAAAACATCCACATTCTTTGATGCTACGGAGACTAGTTCTCATATAGTAAACCGTATTTGGATTAGTGATATTTCTTTTCCGAAAAAACTGGTCAAAGATTTGTTTGTAAATGGGAACAACGAACCATCTAGATTTCAGAGTTCACATGATCAAGGACTCAAGGTCGCAGGAATACATATATTCACACTATAGATGAGTACCAGTCTTGGTAAAATCCCTTTTCTTGCAAAAGTTTCACAAGGCATTCGTTTCCTAACTTAGTACAACTGTCTCTAGTAGTGTGTTGTATATGCCCAAATAGGAGAATTAGAGGATTATGTGCAATTAGAGCCCACCCATTTTGTCTAATCACATTAGATCTATTTGGTACTAGTATGTGAATAATATTGATAGTTGTACGCCACTCTCTGATCGGTGGAACTATAGGGTATTACTGAGGGTATGGGTGAGACATTAGTATATAGAAAAACACACATCCATTTCCCAATTTCCTCCATTGTTGCTAATAGTTGCTCCCGTTTTAGTCTCTTGTAATGGAAAGTTTGCACATTTCTTCACATCATGCCAATCTTGTGTATCCTAGTTCTTTAGACCATATTTGTTTGATCCATTAACCCATCGGATTATGTTTAGTTTTCGCTCTGATTTTTATTCCCTTGTCAAACAGTGAAACCTCAGTTTACACGCTTTACCTTTATCATTACAGGCTATGTGCATAAGATAACATCACGGAAGGATATTGATGTCATGGAGGATTTGGATAAGTGATAGGCATGCTGATTCTTGACGGCAGTGTATACTCGTACGTTTCCTTATTTTGTAACCCATGCATTGATGATTACCCCAATTCTTATTCAAGAATATGTTCTTTGCTTACTATATATTACTTCCTCCGTCTCAATTCTTCATCCCAGAAAGGAGTTTGGTTTCAAAAGTAATTTTTCATTTTAAATTAAAAGATGTGTAAAATCAAGCAGCAAGCAGTTTTTAGTCAATTACCCCAAACAATTTCTGAAATAGTTTTTAGGAGGATAAAAGCGTGTACTTCACTAAAAATCAAAAAAGTGTACCGTTTACTCAAACTGTCAAACATGACTCTTTTTTGGGAGTCAGGAGGTAGTTCTATTTGCAGAGCAACCATGTTATTCTCTTTTAGTCGTGAGTACTTATATTTACGACTCCCGCTGTAATTGCATTTTTTGGTTAAAGGCATCTGCTTTACTTGCAACATCAGGAAGTCTTGAATGTCTCTGTTTAAGGTGGCTGAATGTTTGATATGAATGCAGTTTAAACATTGTTATGGTTCTCGAAACAAAAACAGCCATAGCAATGTCATGCTATCTAAATATCCAGTATTATCTCTCAAAATGCAAGTTACCAAGGAGGAAGGCGTCAGTGCCTTCCATTAGTAGGCAAAGTTCCATCTCTTGCCCTGCCTACATGCCCAAAACAGATGAAATGAAAAAAGTGTTTGACCGATTTGACTTCGACAGAGATGGAAAGATCTCACCGAATGATTACAAGGCCGTGCTGAGATGTATGGGAAACAGTGGCTTGTCGGTCATGAGGGAGGTTGGCATGATATTTGAGGTTGCGGATTTGAACGGCGATGGATACATAGATTTTGAGGAGTTTGTAGAAATGCAGAGAGATGGTGGAATCAGAAGCGTGGATTTGCAGTCTGCCTTCCGAGTGTTTGATAGGGACGGTGATGGGAAGATTTGCGCTGAAGATCTGTTCGAGGTGCTGCGGAGGCTCGGAGAAGGGTGTAGTCTGCTGGATTGCCAGAAAATGGTGAGAGCTGTGGATGGTAATGGGGATGGTGTGGTTGACATTGACGAGTTCATCACCATGATGACTAGCACCATGAGGTCCATGACCATAACACGATGAAACATTGAAACCACATTCAGTCAGACAAATGTTAGCACGTTTAACACTGTTTCTAATTTTTATGATTCGCTTAACACTGTTTCTAAAATTTAATGCATGCAAATATGTAATCATTTAATTATCCATTTTCATTTGAAATAATGTTATGTTTTTTTTTACCGCATTTTGTATGTCCTGTGTACTACTCACGGACATTATTCGATTAAGTAGAACATTTCCCAAGTTGGTGTGTTTAGTTCATATGGTCATATTAAAGAATTTTTATTCACGTCAGGTTCATCAGTCGGTTCTAGGACCTAGGTTGGATTGAACATTAACCTCTTTTTTAGAGAAAAAATGAAATCAAGGCTATAACTCTCCTATATAACCTCATATGCAAACGTACAAAAATTATACGGTTATTTTTTTTTGCATAGTTTCTGAATCTAAGTTTCAGTTATATTCTGCTCTATAAAGAGTAAAGACTATCAGTCGAGTTTCGTTTGTAAATATAATTTACTTCTTGTAAATATAATACGTTTAGTTTGCAAAAAAAAAACTTATAAAATTTCTAGCCTTCTAGGTAATATTTTTGGGAATTCTGCTTTTAAATAAAAATGCATTTATCTTTTTCAATGCAACAATGTTTTTTTTATAGTAGCTTTTACAACACATAAGTTCAAACACTCATATAAAAATCCATATTATTCAACCAATTCTTTCTTATGTTGGGGCAAGATCTATTACTGTTTTTCAAGACCAGAAGTGGGGGGCGCTTACCCCCATGTTCCCTAGACGGCTAGACCCTAGGTCCTCCACTGCGGTCAAGCGACTTTATTTCATACGTAGTATCTCCTATTCCGTATATAAAATTTGATCGTATTTGAATTTGAATTTTTGCTTTTCATTAGAACTTTTATCTAAAATTTTGAGTATTTAATCATTTTTACTCATGTAACTATCGATAGAAAACATTTAACTTTAATTTTACCCCGAAAATTCACACAAAATGAGAGGGACTAAGAGCATATGTAGCGATTAGCTAATTGCCCTCATAGCTTGACTAGTCACATTAGTGTTTGTAACAAAATTAAAATGTACTTCAATGGTTAGCTATAATTTTTTCCTCTTCATTTATTATTAGTAATGCTATATTTAATATTCCTCTTTGCTCAAGCTAGTATCCCATTTAGGCTAATTAGATTTCTCAAACAAAAAGAAAAGTAGGCTAGCCACATCAGTATTTGTAACAAAATTAAAATGTACTCCAATGGTTAGCTATAACTTTTTCCTCTTCATATATTATTATTAATGCTAAATTTAATATTCCTCTTTGCTCAAGCCTCAAGCTAGTAGCCCATTTAGGCTAATTTAGATTTATCAAGCAAAAGGAAAAGTAGAGCTCCAATGGCAAGCTATTAGCTTTAGTCATGGACCCGGGCCGGACTGGTTCCGGTTCGGGCCTGGGCCCGGTCGGGCTTTTTTTGGGAAGGAAGAACCGGAAGCGGCCCGAGTAAGCAGAGGTTCCGGGCCGGGCCGGGCCGGTTCGGTTCATGTTATTTTTTTTTTAATTTTCTTTTGCTTTTCTAATTAACCCTCGACCCCCCCCCCACCCCCACCCCCCCAAAACATCCAGACCAACCCGGGAGAAACCCAAAAAATTGAAAAAAGAAAAAGAAAGAAATAGGCCGGACCGGTTCCACTTTTAGGATGCCCGAGCCCGTCCCGTTTAACTCCCGATTTGGGTGACCCGGACCGGTCCTATGACTGGGTACCAAGCCGGCCGGGCCCAAACAGTACCGGTTCTGGGCCGGGCGGCCCGACCCAAGTCCATGACTAATTAGCTTTAGAATTGAAAACAAGTCCTCAAAGTGAATCATTGGAGATGCTCTAACCGACCACCCACATAAGCTAATGTGGGGGTGTTTGGAACTGATTCTGCTTCTGCTTCTTTTTTAAAAGCAGAAGCAGAATCAGAATCAGTTTTCAGAAGCTGGTACCCCCCAGCTTCTAAAAAAACTGATTCTAAGAGTAAATTAGAGCTCCAGAAGTGCTTCTGGAATTTTACCCAAACACTCCAGCTTCTGCTTCTGCTCCCTGAAGGAGCAGAATCAGTTTTGAGAATCAGATCCAAACACCCCTGTGTTTCATTCAGTGATAAAAGTAAGGATCGACAATACTTATATAATAATTTACAATATACAATATTTGGATGCTTCAAAAATATATACAATATATGGATGAATGTATCATTGGGCTAGTTTTAACTCTGAAATTGTCTGAATCGATTGAATCTTTTGAAATTTATAAACTTATTACTCAAGTTACTCAATTGACTGGAATCTACTGAATTATAAAAAAATTAAAATATACTTCCGTATTCTATTAATAGAAAGAAAGAAATACTTGAAAATTATTAGATTTTTTTAAATAACCTCAATCAATCTAGTTAGAAAAGTAATTTCAACATTATTCATTTTGATTATTACACAATTCAATGCGTAAAAAAAACTAATTCTTTAATAAAAATTGACTTATAAGATTAATAAGAGTTACCAAATAGGTTGATTATATGTTCACACCATATACTACATACTCCCTCCGTCCCAAAAAGATTGACCAATTTGACTTTTCTTGGTCAATGGTGACGGAGTTTGACCAACGATTTCTTTTAATACAAAATAATTTAAAATATAAAAATTATATTAGCATATTCTCTATTATAAAATCTTTCATAAAAGTGTAAAATTCATAAATTACACATAAATATAATATCTAAAATCATTGTCTAAACTTTAACATCATTGACCAAGAAAAGTCACAATGACCAATCTTTTTGGGACGGAGGTAGTATTTGTTATATAATATATTCTCTTTAATATTTTTTATACTTCGCAATGTAACAATCAATCCTTTTTTACTTAATGATTTATAGTTGAATATTTTACAAATTTTAATTTCACATTCTAAATTGTATAATAATATAATAAAAAGTAAAATTAAATTTATTTTTCTTATCAAATTTGTTGAACAAGGTCATTTTAGTTTCTCATAGTCTTTTCTTTGTTTATTAATAAAATACTTCCTCCGTTCTTAGATAAATGCAACGGTCAACATTTCACACTTGTCGAGACACAACTTTAACAATTAATATATATAATTTTGTATTAGTAAAAAAGTTCAAAAAAATAGATTTTGAAAATTTACAATGAGACGAATTTAAAAATATTTTTTTCATAAAAAATATTAATACATTAATAAATAAAATGTAGTCAAAGTAGAACATGTGGATAATGTAAAATTCAAAGTGTTACATTTATTTAAGAATTGAGGTAGTATGTTATGAGTATATTTGTTATTCTAATTCAACAGGATGTAACTAATTTGTTACTACAACAATTTCAATAACTTTCAGTAGACACAATTTCTTTTCGGGTATATTTCGACATTTTAGTCACTGGGGTACTTAATAAACAAATTATAATTAGTCCCGCCGTCACACACCAAACCCGGGCCAAAATGATTCCCCGTGCTTCCATTTTACCGCCAAAAAGACCCGGAGATTTCAAATGCAGAGCTCATAGTCATAAAAGCGTGTGAGAGAAGCTCAATTCGGCAGGTCATCAAATGGACGATGAGGACGAGGTGCTTTCCGTTTCAGAACCAAGCGAGTCCAGCGACGAATCCAACATCGAGACCGGCAGTGAAGGAGACGACGACCTCGATTACAACGGTGACAGTGGCGACGAAGAAGATGACCACCGTGGAGCTGAGACATCCAATAGCCGCTCCAGTTCGAAAGATCTAAAGTCCGAAAATGTGGCCGCTCTAGTCAGGTGCTTTAATTTGTTATCCATGTCAATATCATCATCTTTTTAACTGATGTTTTGGACAATCGTATCTTTACTCCTTCCTTTCATCTTAAGTGGTTGAAGTAGAAAGAATTTGGTGGTACTGGAGGGCTAAGAATTTTCAAACACAGAAATTTAGTTTGTTATGTTCATTGCAATATATTAAACCTAAATGTTGGTTTTTCTATGGATATCAATGGTCAAAGTTGATAGTGTGTAATTATCATCATCATGTCATGTAATTAGGGGAAACCTTCAAGTAAGAAGACAATCCATACTTCCTCGAGTCTACTCAGTGAGTGATGCCGCTGCCAACATCAGAAAGCCATTTAAACCTCCTAGCTCGGATGGTTATAGCAGTAACAAAGAAGATCTAGCAAGGCGTCTCTGGGCTAGGAAAAAGTTTGTACCTTGGGGGTCCACTAGGCCCGCTTTGGTTGTAATCACAAACAGAGTAAATTCCCTTGAGCCTGATGATAAAGACCCGGTTGAAGAAGAGCTATGTCTGCCACCAGATGTTGAACCATTGGTGTTGTGGCAGTCTGAAGAAATTGGGGAGGAATGCTGTTCTCCAAAACCTATTGCAGTGGAACCATTACTTGTTAAGTTCCTTCGGCCTCATCAAAGGTACTGACACTAATAATATGATATGTTATAATACACTAATTATAAAAATTTAAAGGTATTAGTAGTAGTAGAAATGGTAATGCTAAATGCACCTCTAATTTTTGGGGCTGATGGTCTGTTTAGTCTGAATGCACTGATTTGTAGCCTGAGATTGATAAAGCCTCCAAGTTCCAATTTTTACCAATTTGTTTTAGCATTAGAGTTCCAGTGGATTATAATGTAAATATTGAGGGATTTTTTTTCTTTACTTGCAGAGAAGGGGTCCAATTCATGTTCGACTGTGTTTCAGGACTTTTGAGCACTTCCAACATTAATGGATGCATTTTAGCTGACGATATGGGGTGATTATTGCTGGGCACCTATTGCAGCTGTGCTGGTGTTATATTTGTGTGCAATGATTCTCAAAATGGTGTTTGACTTACTAGTGGTCTTTCTGTGCAGTCTAGGGAAGACATTGCAGTCGATTACATTGCTTTACACTCTACTTCGCCAAGGTTTTGATGGAAAAGCTATGGTGAGGAAAGCAATAATTGTGACCCCAACCAGTCTTGTCTCTAATTGGGAGGCTGAAATAAAGAAATGGGTTGGAGAAAGAGTTAAACTTGTTGCTCTTAGTGAAAGTACTCGAGATGATGTTATTTCGGGCATACACAGTTTTACTAATCCCCGTAGCAATATACAAGTAATTCTTCTAAATATGCATCTACTGCAATTCTGTAAACGTGAGATATTTATGGTGAATTTTAGAAGTATTCATTCATGTGGCCCTATTCCAGGTATTAATTGTTTCCTATGAGACATTTCGGATGCATACTT